TATCAGCAGGGAACCTCGCTCCCTGTTGAGAAGATTGAATAGCTGACAAAGGTCTATTTACTGAGAAAGGAGCAGAAGCTGAAGCTGGTACTGAATCAACTCGACCAATCTCCCTCTCAGCATTCATGATAAGAAGCTCCTCCAAATTGTTTCCAGAAGCACTTGCTCCAAGGGAGCCCTTTCTCGAAGTTAGATCCATCCCATTGATAGCAACTACATACCGAACCTCAGATTCACCCTCCACAGCTCCCATAACAAACTGAGCCTCCTCTACATCACTGCTTGAGAATAAGAACATCCTGGGCTTCTCAGATCCATCAGTACTTAACACGCTACATTCCTCCATCATGTTTTGCAAATCCTCATCACAAGACACAGAAACCAGAGCATCAAGATCCTCGCCAGGCAGCTGATATTTTATTGCATGTGATTCAGAGTAGATTTCTGTCATCCTCTGCAAGAGTTCTTCATACGAAATATCCTTGCTAATCTGAATGATTCGTGTTTCACCACCAACATATCTAAGCTTCCGATCCCTGGGGCGGGGTAGGATTTTACCACCAAAGCTATATAAGAACTTCACCTGGTTTAAAGAGCCATCAGACGCTCTAGAAGAACCGAAACTTTGAAGTCTTTGATTGCTATCATTTCTCGATGATGCCACTTGCAAAGGCTCAGGGTGACTCCTGACTTCAACGACAGAAGGGATCTTCCTCTCGTGCTCAAGTGTATGGTTTTTTTCTGATGCATTAAGCACTGAGGTGTTAGACTCACTCTCTAACATGGGATGAGACAGTCCCGTTGCACCATTTAAGCCAACATAAACAGGTATACCACTGGGCTCACCATATATATTTGGGATGAATTGCTGTTTTGGAATTACCCTATCTCTCATAAACTCAAATGCAAATTCTTCACCAGTCTGAATAGAGTAATTCAATACCACCGGTCGAGGAGGGGCCGAAATGACATAGTCTGGAGGCCATACATTAGCACTAGTATTAGTCCAAGGGTCATGGAAAAACCCTTGATTTACGGAATCAAGCCCCTCATTTCTCGGATCAGATGCAGTACACCTAACTTGTTCATAACTTTTTGCTTGATCCATCTTTCCTTTCCCAATATGTCTATCCATTTAGTTCATCAGCTGCCTTGAAGATGCTTGGAGGCGACATATCATGACCACAAGTCACATCTTCACATGTGCACCCTTCCAAGATAATCCTAGGATTTTGCTATTAGTGTCTTCCAACACAACCAACTCCAGTCCTCATAGAGATGCCTGAAACAAGAGGAGCTCTTTCATAAATGAACAACAGTAACCTAAGCCGTAAAACACTTAACGCATCTGGAAAATGATCACATTTGATTCTCTAATCATCTCTGACTTTTCGTCAACCGAGAGGACCGGTGCTATGTAGATGATAAATATGATAAAAATGGAAGTACTACCAGACCAACCTGAATCCCAAGTTTGACTTGAACCCTAAAACTAGCTTTGGTTATCAATTTACAGTACTGAACTCAATCCTTATCGACTAAACCCTTGATCAGCGTCAACTAACAAGAATCGCTGAACTGAAATCAACTATGTCAAACCTAACATCGAACACGACATGTCTCCGACAAGGAACCAACAAGACAAATCGGTCAAAATCGGGACAATACCAAACAAAGACCGAGTGAAAAAAATCAGAGCCACCCAGTGCTCAAGAGACATCCATACGCATATAAAGAAATTGAGCTAGAAACCTGATCCTAACGACGTAAAAACCCGATCAAGCATCAAACTCACTGAAAAGAATCCAAGGTCTAAGGCTGGTTGGAAAACACGATCGAAATTCAACCAAAAAAAAGGAAAAAAAAAAACAACAGATCCAGAAAAACATCGGCATTAAAGAGCAAAACATCATCAGCAAAAACAAAAAAAGGAAGAAACTTTGGGGAAGGACTTTACCTGGCGAAGAGGAAGCGGAGACTGAGGCGTTCCTTCGTTTGACGATCGACGAGAAAAGCGAAACCAAATCCCTTAAATCTCTCTCTCAATTCACGGCATAGTTTCTTCTTCTACTGTGTGTATTTTTTTTTTATTTGCCATTTCGTACGTAAAAATATATATGAACATTCATGGGGAAAGACCCAAAAGGGTAGATAATGATATATATATATATATGTGTGTATATATATTCATCCTCTACTGAAGAATTTAATTATTAAAATCAATAACTAAGTCAATAGTATTCATCTAAATAAATATACTTTATAAAGTAATATTTTTAAAAATATAAAATAAACGTAAGCGCCATGGAGCTAACCGTCATGTCCATGGATGCTTCGTGATAGAATTTCTTATCATAATAAATAAATGTTACAAAAGTACGCTTCTCAAATATCTTGCATATTATTCATTTCATATACATATATTTATATCTATGCATTCATTATTCAAAAAACGCACGCATCATATCATATTATATACAGGTCCATTGCGTATAGGCACGCATTTTGTATAATTAAAGGTAGACTTTTAGTGAGAGAAAAAAAAAATTACTTGATTTATGTATCAACTGTTACAATTAGCTCGGATTTGTAAGAACATCGGGGCAACGAAAAGACAGGATATAAAGCTCAAAGGGAATTTTCAAAACGACCCCACTTGAAATTAAAAAAAAAATCAAACTTGACCCTGAAACTATAATTTGTGCAATAAAGCCCAAAAAAATGAGTAATTTTGCCTTCTCTGCCGAGAAAGGTGTCGTCCTTGTCGTAAAATCCAAAACCCATAAACCCTAATACTCCAGAGTTTCGTCGCAGAGCGTACGAAAATGCATTTCGTCGCGAGATCATTGACGAGAACCTTGAAATCTTCTTCCTTGACCACGATCAAGCGATCACGGGTCCTCTCTCAGCAGTTTCATTCTACGATTTGTACGAATAGTGGCAGTTCTCGCGGCAGAAGCAGTTCGACGAACTCGGGATCGCCGGAACCGGCAAAGGCCCCGGCGACGGAGACGGAGTGGCCGCGTCCGAAGGAGATACCGTACCAGCCCAAGGTGGCGAACTCGGTTAACTTGATCGGGTACGTGAACCAACCTGTGCAGTTCGAGGCTTCCTCCGACGGCAAGTTCTGGGCCGGCACCGTCGTCTCGCACGGCTCTTCATCTGATTCCAGTTCGGTGTCGGATTCGGACCATAATCTCTGGTTAGATTATGTTCCATTTTTTGCTTAGTTGTTTTTTGTTTCCGTGAAATTGGGTTATGCATGTTGTTTTGGCATTTTGTTTCTGTTTCACTCTCGGCACTGGCTCGGATTGCATGTTTAGAACATTGGCTATGGCAAGAACTCGAATCCGAGAACTTCGACTCTGGAGTCAGTCAGGTCCGCTGTGGTAGGCATGTCAGAAAAATCAGATTTTGTTCGTGAAGGAACTGAAATTTGTCAGAGATAAAGTGCTTCAGCTGCGATTGTTGTATCTTGAAACCTGTTTTTAAGTGTGCAATGCAAGAACTAACAATGGTATCTGTGGATAAGCATTCATTCTGCTTGCACGAGTTCTGTTAGTTTTTGGATGATCTTCAAGTTGTGATTATCATATCAGTTAGTAGAATGGCAAGGAATATGAGTTTATGCAGGCTTTTGGGTATAATTTTCTGATGTCGAAACTCACAGGTCGATGTCCTATTTTTTATGGTCAATATCAGGATACCGGTAATATTTGAAGGAGATTTAGCTCGTACTGCCGCTTGCCATTTGAAGAAGGACGATCGGATTCATATTGCTGGGCAACTGTTTGTGGATATCCTTCCTTCTGGAGCGAATCTTGGCCAAGCCAATGTTCAGGTAAGGATCTAGATGATGCAATGCTTAAGTTCTTCAGGTGATTTGGTTAGGTTCATTGTAATACTCAAGCTGGGACCTTTATCTCATTGTTTATTACCTCTCTTACCTCCATGATTCCTTTTCATTTCAGGTGATGGTCCAAAGTCTCCACTTTGTTGATAATTCTCTAGCAACAAAAGCTTTTGCAATGTCGGATCAAGAAGGTGTCTTGAAACATTCTGGTAAGTGGGTAAACTTATCAATCCTACTAATTCCGTTTTCTTGTCTGATGTCTTCAAACTTTTGCTTTCGTGTCATTGAAGCTGATTGTTAAGCATGAACTTCCTCTTTCAGCTAACGTTACAAGGTTTGGAGGTGTAGGAGCTGAACGCTGGCATGACCTTCTCCATAATCCTGAAGAATGGTGGGATTATCGTGAAAACAAGCAGAATGGGATGGTGATCTGACTGAATTCCCCTTTGGATTTTGTTTTGACAGATCTTGAAATTAGCAGATCGATAATCTCTTCATGTTTTTCTTTTTCTTGCTGTTCATGCTACAGGTAAATCCTAAACATCCAGATTTTAAAAAGAAAGACGGAAGTCTTGCTCTTTGGCTTAATACAGCACCCAAATGGGTTTTGTCTGATCTCGAAGGTGTTAAGTTTGACACTCCAGTTTCCAAGCCACGGCAAGTGAAACAGGATAACGGTAAGGACAAAGTTTCTCATTGATAGTTTCAAGTTGTTCATCAAATCGAATCGGACAATGTCAATTCTCCCCCCCCCCCCCTTCTCACCCCCCGCTTTTAATCAACTGATCTGTGGGGAGAAAGAAGCAAAAGGCAAGAAT